GGGCGGCTGGGGGGCTCCGCGTTTCCACCGGGCGAGAGCCGTTCGTGCGGTCATTTACCGCGACGGCTGCCGGCCCTGCCTCTCTGCCCCTGTGCTGCATTGATCCTGGTGGGGCGTGTTGGCCTGAGGGCTTTTGAAGTCATTGTTTTTTTTCCCCTTTTTAATATTTTTTTTTTCTTAATGGGTAACACTGGGAGATTTCTGTGAATTAATTTCAAAGTGAAATGAAGATGTCAAACTATTTGGTTTGCTTTCTACTTCTAGATCACTTTTTCTGAACTGGTGATGTTGATGAAACTGAATGAATGGAAGAGTTAGGGCAGATAGGAAGTTTGCATTTCATGCTCTGCACTTGCCACCGGACAAGCGTGTCTCTGAAGTGACCTGGGATCATTGGAGCTGTGTGTCCTGAGAAACTCTGAGGACCTCTGAAGGTAAAAAAGCGTTTGGTAGCATTCTTTCCTAACCCTCTGTTGCCATGAGTATTAAAAGGAGGAACCTGTTCAGTAGTGTTGCCAGCCCTCTCCCCACACTTACACCTTCTTTTAGGCCTTCTGCCTATTCTGCTTTTTCCCAAAGAGCAGTCAGATTGCAAGCGTATTTTCTGAGAAAATGCCAGCAAGTGTAGCTTTCCTCTTTTGTGATGTCAGGAAAAGGAGTTTCTTAAATGTGATGTCTTGCTGTCAGCTGACGGGAGTGATTGCTGTAACAAGATAAAAATATGCATATTTTTGTATTCTCTTCTGCCATGGGACAGTAATTTTTTTAAATGCTTATTCATTCTCCAGTCTCACAGTTGATTTTTTGCCAGAATACTTGCTTTTGTGCTTTTCTGTGTTTTTTTTCTCTTTCAACTCTACTGACTTGCCCTTTTATTTTTTCCCCTTCTATGAAGTGCATACACTGAATGTATGCATTGAATGTTGCTGCTAGTTTGGCCTTTGCGTTCTCTTTTATGAGCTGGTGCATTGTAATTTTTATGTGCCTCACCTCTAAAAAAATGAACATAATTACAATGTGCTGTGAAATACTTCTGCTTGAGTGCCTGTTTACTACTGCCTTGTATTGTCTTATATTCATTGCATAGCTTAGTTTCAGCTGTAACTCGTTTGAAATAGCTTCTACTGTTAGAATAAAATGTGCTGGCAGTGCCATATGAACAAACCTTTGTAAAAACAATTAAGGTTCTTGCTGATGGCTTATAAAGGCAAAGTATTCATATTTGTTATTAATCTTTATGTCTTTGTAATTATTGTCATCTTCAGTAGTAGTAATGTTAGTTTTTGGTAAGTTAGCTTATTCTAAGGCACGTCCTATGTATTGCTCTGCGTAGAACATTTTGCAAAGTGTGGCATAAACTCATAAACATGCAGTGTCTGTCTTCATGGTCTTCTCTGCTAAGTCTTACTGACTATGCTTACTGCTCCCATTGAGCTCTGCCTGGGGCTGGAAGGATGGTTCTCTCTTTAACAGAGCGAAGGACACCTCATTTAAGTGGGGGTGTGTCTACTATAAATGCAGATGTATTGGATATACACAGTGAATGGGCAGGGTAGTCAAGTCAACTACACTGTGGCAGGAAGAACTTATACTGCAAAATTTGCCTAAAGTGCTGCAGAGTTCGTCATCTTCTCTGTAAGTAGCTGAAGTGTTAGGCAGAAGCATTGAGGGGACCTTCATTATAAGGAATTGGGGGTGTGCTCTTGCCTTGACACTGTCTTGTCCATACTGAAAATCCACGTGTGCTCTTTCTGGGACAAATGCCACACAAAGCCACCTGCTAGATTTTGGAGACTGTAGCCACCTCAGCTGCTTTCTACCTATCCCTGGAGCTGTGCATTACAAGGACTGAATGTCAGTAGATAGCCATGTCCCTTTTACCAAGTGGGTAATGAACAGCGGGCAGTGCTTTAATTTACTGTTTGATGTTTGACCTTTCATTTTGCTTGTGAACTGCTCTTGGTTGTCAGCTGACATCAACTCTGTCAAGTCCACTTTATGCCAACACACAGAAGGCTGGCCAGAAGTGTGTGGTTCTGTTTTAATGATGCTCTGATAGGGATGTTTCCAGCACCGGTGCTCTGCACCTGCCAGCAGGGATGTTGTATCTGAAATTAAGAATTTTTTTTTTGAGCCTTTTCTTTCTGTATGTTAGGTACAAAGTTGATAGGACTCTGTTATTGTAAGCATTTATATTAAAAGGCAATGGCAGCGAAGCGATGGCCCAATAATGTCCTGCTTACATTCTTTTTCGCCAGACACTACTCTGACGATGGAGCTTATAGGTTCTTCTGATTCCTCCTTCCAGAGAGCCCTTTCTAAAGAGACTAATCTGTTGCAGAGGATTCCTCTTGCAGTGAATGTGACTGCAATATAGTGGAAAATCCAGACCAGCCTGCTCACCAGCTTGTTCTGCTGCTTACCCTGAGAGTGAGTTCGCAGAGGATCTGCTCAGCTCTAAGCTGAGCTGCATAGGAGCCAGGCAACACAGCTTTGGCCCTGGAAATGCCGCCTGCCCTGTTTGCTTTGTGAGAAGTTTGTAAAGGGGAGGGGATCCCTCAGTGGACTCTGTGGGGATGATTAGTGAGGTCAGATCTATACAGCAACTTGCTCTTTTCCTACTCTGCTTGTCCAGTGTTCTGGGTACCTTGAACTAGATGCTAGCGTATCGAAGGAGAATGGAAGTGCATCACCAATAATTAAACATTGCACAGAGAATTTGCAGTCAAGTCTGGACTTGATTCTACATCTTCTGGGTAAATAAACCTGTATATGATGTCTTCTCCCTCTCAGTATTTGTCCTAGCTTATAAAAGTTCACAGCTTGTGGATTACTATTTAAGTACAGTTGTGGTGTGCAGACTTTGCACTATTTTAAATGGGTGCTGCTTGTCAGTTCACCAAAAATCAGTTCTGTTCTTGCTCATTGTTAAGGATACTGTTCAAGGATGGATATTACAGAGTGTGCCCCATTTAATATGGAAATTAAGCATAGGGAATGATATGGGTACACATTGTTTCTTCTCCCCCACCCTGTTAGCCAGTTTCAATCAAATAGACGAGTAGATGGGAGGGGAAAAAAAAAAAGAATGGCATTGTTATCAGCAAATATTGGTGCCTTTGAAACTCCCTGCTTTAATTTGCACCTTGTTTCATAGTTCAAAATTTCTTACTGACTGGTCTGACTTGAGCACTGGTGTTTTTCCTTGTGAATCCTGTATTTTAAGGCATTTGCTATTTCCAGTTGCGGTTCATTCAGTTGCAAAGAAACTAGACCAAAATATTTTGATCAAAGTATGTGGGAGAATGAAGGCAGAACAAGCAATAGACAAGAGCTGATTAGATAGGAGCTCGTGTCACCAGGCTAGCTCTAGCTGCTGAGTTAACTTCAATGGATTTTTTTTTTGGGGAAGTGCGTCAAGCCTGATTCATCATAATCCATAAATTTAATCAAGCACAGAAAATGCACAAAACCAGCAGGCATCTGAGAGTCCTCTGATGTATTGCACTATCTGCAAAACATTCCATGTATTAGCAATCAATTGCTTATTAAAGTCACAGTGTTGTCATAAGCGTAAGCATGTGTGGTATCTGTATTTTCCCATGCCTCCTTTGACTCTGAATTTATGCCATTTGTGAGCACAGCCCTGCAAAGGAGGACATAAATGACCGCTGATTGAGGGAACCAGAGCAAAGTCCTCATGCTAGCACATGAAGGCCTTTCAGTTTTGGAAGCTCTTGTCACCTTGTTCTCATGGAACATGGCACCTCCCCTGCATTGTTTTAATTCTGCAGAAATACTACTGTACGTATTGTGGCATTATTGCAGCATTTATCATAATTTCCAGATCTGTCTTTCAGTGCTTCCTTTGTGTTCCATCTTTAGTGCCTAGAGACTTTTCTCTGCTTCCCTAAAGGCATTCCGGCTCCTTGGCATGGCTGCCCTTTGTGAACAGACTGGAAGAGCTTTTTTGGCATGCTTATGGTTCTTATCTTGACTGTAAACACAAGCTGTGAAAGCCGTATGGGATGGCAGGCTAAAAATAACTTCTACCCTTGGTAATCTCTTAAGGAAAGATAAATCTTCTGCCTGGGTGCTGTGGATGGATTCTCTGCAGTTCCCTACAATCGGGATCACAAATGGCAGTGAGCTGTGCCGTCTGCTTTGGGGACAGAGTTGCTGTTGCTCTGTCCATTGCTGTCTTGGAGCAGCTAGCGCAGTGTTGCTGGGAGAAGGGTGATATGGTGATATCTGTGCCTTGAACTTGCAGATGCAGTGGATGCTGACTAGTACTGTAGACTTACTCAGTGTTCCTTTGCAGCACGTTGGAAAAAGAAGACATGCGTATCATGACGGGACACTGCGTTAGAGAAATGATGTCACGAGTTTGACACTGCTAGGATAACTTTGTGTTTACTGTCAGAGGAGTTACTGACTTGGCCCTCTCTTTCCTTACAGCAGCAAGGGAGCCATGATGGATAACCGTTTTGCTACAGCGCTAGTAATTGCCTGTGTTCTCAGCCTCATCTCCACCATCTATATGGCAGCTTCCATTGGCACCGACTTTTGGTACGAATACCATACCCTGTCTCCAGCTGAGAATGTTAGTGAAGCTGGTAGGAGCATCTGGGAGGAATTTGTCAGTGAAGAAGCAGATGAGAAGACCTACACAGACGCGCCCTTCCGATGCAACGGCACAGTTGGATTGTGGCGGAGGTGTATCACCGTACCCAAAAACTCTCACTGGTACAGCCCACCAGGTATCTCTGGAGCTATTAGCACTTCCCTAGCTTGCCTGGGGTGGTATGTGCTAACTTCTTCCAAACACACTCATGCCACTTTATTCCTCCAGAAGGCTTATTTCGAGCTTATGTGTTTGGCTGGTTTTTCTAAGACAATCAGTCTAAATTTTTAAAGAAGTGAAAGGCAAAATGGTCTGTAGCTGTCAGTGCCACAGACTCTGGATTTGACACATGATACTTGATCTAAATTTAGTCTGGTATAACTTGATTTTCTTTTGCATGTGGTGTCCAACTGGTGATACAGTTATAGTTGCTCTGTCAGTCACACTTTTTAGGAGACTTCTTGGGATCCGGCAACGGAATAAAGATACTGCTTTATCAAGGGAGCACTCATTTAGCTAGTCATTCATTTTACTCACACATCACAAATGTCCCACTGTTGCATCAGCACATTTTTGGACTCCTTGTACCATACTGCTAGATAGAGAATGAAATATTTGTATTTGTCACTACGGTTGGGGGCTAAAAAAGTGCAGTGAGCAATTATTTTAGTTGTTTCAAAGTAGATTTTGGACACTTATTGTGGGTGAAGCCCTTCATTTTGAACCCTCTTTTAAAAAATGTACTTTCAAACACTCAGTCCCATCCCATTCCCCCTCCCCTCCAGTGAAAATACTTACTTAGGAAGACGCTTAAACCAGCTCTGCTCAAAGCAAAATCTGAGGCGTAAAAGGGGAGAAGTTTAGTGTAAAGAAGCAAATATTTTCTGTTCTTTAGATAGTCCTTTCTATCCCATCCTTGGATAAAGTGTTTAGTATGATATGACATCCTGCACATGGAGGTAAACACAGCTTAGTTAAGGGACTCTGAGTACAAGAATATGTAACAACATAGTTGAGCATCATATGCCACATTTCTTTCCCAATCTGTCAAGTATGGCACAGTTCTCTGTGGATAACCCAGGTAAGCTTGAAGATTCTGCATGTTTGAATGCTGTCCCTAATTGTGGTAACTATGTTATGCTGACTACATTATGCTAAGGCATCCTACAGATCTGTTTTGAGAGGTGATTTATTGTTTTTTTTCTCTCAAATGGAACTCTGAGGAACTTCCCAGCTCAAATGGTTGGGAAAGGAGGAATTGAAAGGGGGGTCAGGGGAGACACCTAATAGTAACTTTTTTCTTTTTTTTTTTTCCCTGCAGAAAACGATATGACTACAAACTGCATCAGTTTTTCGCTCTCTGATCAGTTTATGGAAAAGTACATAGAGCCTGGAAATCACAATAGTGGCACAGATTTGAATCGGACTTGTAAGTGTCTTTCACTTCTGGCAGGTAAACAAGTAGGATTTAAAAAAAATACTTCTCAACTACATTCAGTAGTGAGAAAAGCATCTGTATCTTGCTCTGCATTTATTATTTAAACTTTCTTTAAAATTTAAAAGGAAAACTTAGATGTTTTAGCAAAGGTTTTGCCCATGAATGCAGTACAGGAATTTGGGAGTTAACAAATGAAGTTCTTCCTACTTCAATGGAGCCTTTGGTCCTTTTTAGCTATGAATGTAGAATGTCTGAAGCAGAAGCAGCTTGGGTAGAAGGGAATATAAGATGTGAGATAAGTTTCTAGCACATCTTCAACAAACTTGTCTTGCATGTTTCTTTCACGTGCAGATCTCTGGCGATTGCAGTTTCTCCTGCCATTTGTAAGTGTTGGCCTCATGTGCTTTGGGGCTCTCATTGGGCTCTGTGCTTGTGCCTGTCGCAGCCTTTACCCGGCCATTGCCACTGGAGTCCTCCATTTCCTAGCAGGTAGGTCTCCTGCCAGCCACCACTTAACCTCCCTCCTCCAGAAGCTCACAGTGACAGCCAGAGCACTTCGGCGGTGAACTCATTGTGCTTTCCTGCTTCCTTCCCCAGGGCTTTGTACGCTGGGCCTTGTTGGCTGCTATGTAGCTGGGATTGAGCTGCTCCATAAGAAGCTGCCCCTGCCTGATGATGTGAGGGGTGAATTCGGCTGGTCCTTCTGCCTAGCCTGTGTCTCGGCACCTTTGCAGTTTATGGCAGCTGCTCTTTTCATCTGGGCAGCTCGCACCAACAGAAAGGAATTCACCCTCTTGAAAGCCTACCGTGTAGCATAAGTGCTGCTACCGAAGTCTCGAGTTTCCGTGTTATAGCCTCTTCTCCCCCCAACCCTTACTACTTTTTTTCTTTTAGTCAGAATTTTACCTTGTACTGCATGCTTCTTGCCAGTTGAGACAATTTAGCCTGCAGGCCCTGAAAACAAAGACCTCTGGGCTAAATGACCAAACTCTGCCAGAAGTCTGCAGAACTTGAACAGGTTTTTTAATTGCTTTTTTAAGACTTATTTTTTAAGCTTCCTTTGGTTGTTGACTATCCACTTGGTTAGGTGTACATGCTCCTTCCTAATTTTATTACCCTGTCAGCTTGGAGGAAATAGGAGTGGTGTTGTGGGGTGGAAGAGAGATGGGAAAAGATGCAGGTAGGCAAGAATGGGAACGTCAGTGCACAAATAATAATTGATCAGGAGCAGTCTGCTTTGTGACTCAAGCAGGCAGTACCTACAGAGAGCACCCAAGAGACATGGGGGATCTCAGAAACCTCTGTTATGGAAATACTGTAGCTAAATCAGTCCTGTAGCTTAGCTTTGGGTCTCTTATTCTCACTAGTTTGCTACTTTTTGTGGCTTCTGCCAAAACCAATGCAGGCAGAGCAGCCGGCTGTGGGAGTGTCTGCACAGCACACCATCCTGAACCCAGACTCTGCGCTGGCTTTTGCCAAGGAGGAGGATAAGTTGGTCCCCATGGAGCTGTGTGCTGCTTGAGCTACACTGCTTCCAGGACCCGGGCTAGTTTGGTGTTTGTACTATGTGTGATTGTGCACTCTAATCATGACTTGTGGTGCTTTTGCTTGCTGTGAAATAAGGCTTTCCTCTCATTGTGTTGAAAATGACCCCTCACGTGTTTTTTGTTTTTAATTTGGTTTAGTGTGTGTATATGTACATATATAAACTTAACTTTTTTTAAAGCTCACTTATTTATCCTATATAGCACACAACAGGATTTTTTTAAAAGGTGCTTCCCTTTTCACATCTTGTTCCAAACCTATTGTTTAAATGAAATAATAATTTAAAAAAGCTCAGAAATTTTCAGCATTGCATGAATCTCGTGGGTGGGTGAGGAAATAGTCTAAAGTGAATTTTACTTGGGGAAAGAAAAGCCAATGTCTAGATCGTTCTCTGTTTTCAGGGAAATGTCACCAGAAACAAAGATGTTAGGTGGGTTTTTTTAATAATTAAATTCTTGGGCTCCTGCTAACTCTAAATTTTCTCCTGCTCATCATTGGATTGCAACACCTCATAATTTCTAACTAGTTCACAACTTCCACACATTTTTTCTAAATCACTGCAACTCTAGCCAGACTGGTTGGCATGTCTTATCTAGAAAACAACGTTCCGGGCTAAACTGCTTAATTCTGAGGCCTTAACTCCCCTCATTTCTTTACTCCATGCTTAATGTAAGAAGTATGTCTTAGAAGAAATAAATCCTGACAAAATGAGTAAGTCTGTCATGGCAAGGATTCTGTGAGACACTGTGAGAATGACACAGAAATAGGCAGTTTTATCTTGTGGCTGTGTTTGGGTTTTTTTTATTTTGTTTTGTGCTGGTTTTTTATTCAGTAGGTACTTCCATCCAGGCTGTGTTTGCTGGGTCAGCAAATAGTCCTAGTCACGAGTTACCTGAAGATCAGGGCTATCTGCTAGTATAATTTGTTTATTTTTTTTATAATGTGTGATAGGGATCAACCTACTCCTTTTATTATCATCATTGGAATCTTTACAAAATGAAACAAGGATGATGATGAAAACTAAGATCACTGAAGAAGCAGCGGTGGACCGTTCAAGATAATCCTGGGTTTTTTCCTGCTGCAGAGTAATTTTTCACATTTCCTCCTAAAACAGCTTCTTCTTTCCATCTCTACAACATCTGCGCCAATTCTAACCCCATGAGAGGGGATGTGGTACTTTTGTGCACTATCTGATAGTAAATGAAAATCTGTGCTGCTGATATGTACTGATATGGTGCTTTTTCAGAGTCATTAGTTATCACTGCCTAACTGCTTGGCTTGTCTTGTTCCTCATTTGTCAGAAATACTAGGGCATGCAAGCCTCAGCTCAGGTCAGAAGGCCTGGAAGTTGCCGTTCTGCACTTTGAGAGGAAACACTGCTGGTTACTTTATCTAATACAGTTTGTTTGTGTGTTCTTTTTTTTTTCAGGAGCTGGCAGAATAGTCACATCATATGATTTTAATCTGAGCAATGGGAATCCTGTGTGCTTGCTCTCTCCTCTTTTATTAGACACCTATTTTTCTGAAGTGTAAAGCGCAGTTTTCAAATGTTAACATTCTTCCAAAAGAAGGATTGTTATGGAGAGAAAAGGGAATGTTAGAGGTGCTGTTGGTCCTTTCTTGATCATTTTAAGTATCAGCAAAACCAAGATTGCTTGGTTTTGTCTGTGTCTCGGGTAAATGCTGCTGATTTTTCTCTGCACTGAAACAAAGAAAACAGGCTTTAATGGTCCAAATCAAGGATCAATTTAACTAAGATGAGGGTTACCTTTCAGGGGTTGGTTTGTTTGTTTGCTTTCGCTCTTATGTAAAGATTTCTCCACCAGAATGGATTTCGGTGAGAAGCAGATATGCAGAAAGAGGGCTAGCCATCTCCATTGTCTGGGGTGATGGACCTGCATATAGCTATCTTGCTTTTTAACTGTGTGCTTTGTTCAAGGTGTAAAGGGAACATGAAGAACTCTTGGACTGCTAGCTTACGTCCACTAAATGGCGTTGGAGAGAAAAACAGAGTAGATGCTGAGGATAGAGTAATTCTGTAAGAGAGATGATTAAGCACACTAACAGATAATGAGACAGATCTTGACCCAGAGTGTGTGGTACAGGCCCTTCACACCGGCAGAACCTCATGCCGCCTTCAGAGGCTGGCTGCATTCGAGAGAAGCTTGAGGCCTGTGCATATGTTTGTGGTCACACACGTATATGCAAATGCAGACACCCTTGCTCAAAAAAGTGAAGGGTGCTCCTACTCTGAAAGAAAATGGTGAGATCAAAGACTGATTTGTGTTCCTCAGTATTTTGTGGTCTGACCATGGAAGATGTTTACTGATACTGGTTCAGTGTTGGAGATGGGGATGAGGCAGATGCACACAGTGAGATCAAAATAGATTGGAAAAAACGGTATGTCCTTGTGCACAGGGGTTACGGCCCGTGTCTCTAACGCTGTTATATGGGCCAGTGAAAGTGGAGAAAAGACATATCAGAGGAAAAGGAGAAACAAAGGAGGAGGAATCCCTTCAGACTGAGCACAAGAACTGAGGACTCTTGACACTGCTTGGGAGCAAGCTCGCAGGACTGCAGTGTGAACTCCTGGTGTTGTACTGTGTAGCCAGCACAGCAAAGCCCAGCCCTGCGCCTCCACGACCAGTACCTTCCTGCACACCCGTGGCACTGTCGCAGTGGTGGCGTAAGCAAGTGGGTGAATTTTCCTCTTATGAGAAGCCCATAAAGGTTCTGCCTCCTAAATCTGAGGTGGGCAAGCTGCATTTGTCCTTCAAACGTGCCCCTATATGACAATGTTTCTTCTTCATGGGCTTGAGCTTCTCTTCTTGCCAACACTGTGAAACCTCTAGGAAAGCAAGACTAGCAGAAAGCTGCATAGAGTGTTTAGTCTAGGTAGCAGCTGCTGCCTTTTTTTTTTTTCCTCAAAGTGACATTTTCCCTTCCCTCTTCCCTTGCTCCAAACAGCTCTGAGAAGGGGCTGGTCAATGAAACTGTGAAGAGGGGTTTTATTATTGCGGTTGTAAAAGCAGCTTCCACTGATATTAGAGGAGAGAGTGCTGAAAACAAGGGAATAGTCAATCCCATTTCCTTACTTTAAGAAAAAAGCAGTATAGAGCAGACACAAAATGCTTTCTTGTGTAAAGGGGACAGTTCGTCACTTATGGAAGGAATGATGTGTTGTGGGTGCAAGTGATTGCAGCAGAGTCTTGGATAACCCAAGATGCCCTTCTAAATCTGTTGTTATGCCAGAAACTATGTGTGGTGGTCTAGTTTTCCTTCTGGATTGTGTGTTGGCCAGGTGGTCCTTCACTCATGGAATGTCTGTTGCAGTCTTTTTGCTATCGTGATAATGAATGCCTCCTCTCTCCTCGTCTAAAATGCTCTGAAGTGTGTTTTGAGAAAGGTGTTCAGGTTTGTGGTTTTTTTCTGTTCTTTGTCACTTATGGTTGGCACCAGGTTATGTACCAGCTTGCAGTCTGTCTCTTGCAGTGCTGTCGTAATTCTGTGAGTCGAGGCAATGACTTCTGAAAAGCTCTTTCCTGCTCACTAGCATTGTGTGTACTCAGCCAGCACCTGCAATTCAAAGAGAAATTCTGAAATGTCAGCAGATTGTCATCGTTATATCTCAGGCTGACTGTCCACCTCTATCTGTGTATTTCCTGCTTGAGTAGATTGCGTATCTCAACAGAGAGGATAACATCTTGAAGCTGTTGGTTTTTTTCTTTCCCCATTTCCTCAGGAGTAGCTAGACTTTTGTGCTGTAGAGCTTCTTTATAACCCAGTTTCTAATAGGAAAGGATTAAAAGTTTGTGTGTTTACCACTAACACTTCTATTGCTGTAGAATATTATTATTGCCCTATATTTTTAAACGACAACTTTCAAAAGTACAGAGTGCCCAGTGAAGCCTTTGTTCAAGTTACAGTTCAGACATGTGACAGTGGAAGAATGGATACTCTCTAACTGGAAAACTGTATAGGTATCTGGTTATGGCAGTAACAGCCATATGCAAAATTACACTCGACAAGCACCTGTCTGCCTACTGGTACATGCCAAACCTTTACACAAACCAATGACCATGGGGGAAAAGAAAAATCTGACAGCGATAATGTATTCCACTCCCCCTCTCTCCTGCTCTCTTCTAAAATTACCACTTTTAAAAATAACCATAGGGACAGTATTTTATTTATTGATTGGGTTAGAGCAATGAGTGTCAGATGCCTCTGTGCTCTATGCTTTCTGTGTATGGATGAAGATGATAATTGATTTTTGTAGAGGATCCAAGCATCTCTCTAGCATTGGGTTTTCCAAGGTTAAGGTTGAAAATTTTCTGGAAAACTAGAACCTTTTGTTTAATGAAAATTAATAAATAAGTAATAATTAATAATTACTTAATCAGAACCCTCAAAAAAGTAATTCTTTAATAGCCTTCTTTTTCCAGCTTTCTCAAGTCTTTCATC